CCCTTGCTGATTTTGCAGGTTTGCCCACTTACAAAGAATGCTTATTTTTCCTCATCAGATGGTTATCAATTTTTATAAATTCATATGATGTGATTTTCTGGAATTTTCTTTGGGATTCTGTCTTTCACTGTTAGAATGAACATATGATTAAAGTTATAGATCGTTGCATTCTTTGTAAGTGGGCAAACCTGCAAAATCAGCAAGGGGTCAAATACTTATTTCCCCCACTGTAAGTGGTTACGAAAATGGATGGATGGATGGATACTTATATACATGAATGGGGGGGGTTTCACCTTGTTGAAGTTCTCAATGAGGATTTCCACCACGATGTTCTGGAACTTGATGTTCATCATGGCCGCCACCGTTTCCTCCTGAGAGCGCATCAGAGTCGGGCCGAAGATCACGCCCAGGTTAGACACAGTCATCAGGTTGGACTGGTTCTGGGCAGAAACCCTGCAGGAAGAAGGAAAAACCTGTCACGTCTGGGGGAATGTCTGGTGTCTCGTCATGTGTTGATTACCTATTGTGTTCACCTGGGGTTCCCCCCCCTCATGTGTTTAAATAGTCTTCGTTTCCCATGTCCTGTGCCAGTGCGTTTTCGTCTTTCGTTTTTCTGTTCTCGTCACCCCACGTCAGGTTTGATTTTGCCATAGTCTTGTTTTTGTACCATAGCCATGTTTTTGTCAAAGCCCTGTTTTGCCATAATCTTGTTTACTTTGTTTTGATACTTTTGCCACAGCCATGTTAATCTTGATTTGATACTTTGTTCATAGTTTTGTCACAGCCATGTTTTTTCACATTCATGTTAATCTTGCTTTGTTACTTTGTCCATAGTTTTCTCACAGCCTTGTTTTGAACTTTGTCTGGACATCCACTCTTTTTGAGTGTGTTTTTGTTTCAATAAACCTTGTTTTCTGAATCTCCGCGACTGAGTCCTCCCCTAAGATCCACCCGCATGACAAAACCTCTGCTGACACGCCCCATTTCAATCTCATTTTCGTGTTAGGATGAAAACTTTGTTGACACCAACAAAAATGCAGGTGAAAAATTCTCCATTTTAGTATATTTTCCAAGATTTAACTGACCATTTTAATAAAAAAAACAAAAAAAACTTACACCACAAGGTGTTTTATTAGCAACTCCAGCATTTCCCTGTTCCTGTCAGGCAGTTTATGGACCAAAGCGTGGACGGCACAAACCCGGTAGTTCTGGTCGTCTGACTCTGAGGAAAAGGAAAGGAACCAATTATAATCAAGGAGCTCATAATCTGACACTGAAAGCACAAAACCGGCAATCGTTGACTTGACAAAAGCTATTATTCCAGTGTAATTACAGTTCTTTAGGTGAGCTTTCTATATACATTCAAAGAAAAAAGAAAAAAAGTCTATTTATTGTTTCAAAAAACAGATTGTCGCATTCAAATTTAGCTCCAGAAACTCTCAGAATGTTTCAAACAGATGCAAATGAGAACAGATTAAACCAATTAACT